GTCCAATAGCTGATGTGTCCCATTTAATTTCAGTCTCATTTGGTTTTCCTGGGCCTTCCTAATGGCATATTCCAAAGCAAAGGTGGAAAGCAATGATGATAAAGCATCTTCTTGTTTTAGACCATTCAGGATAGGAAAATTATCAGACAAATGTTTACCTGTATGGACTTCACTTTTGTTCCATTTAAACACATTTTAATCAGCCTAACTAGTTTCATAGGTACCCCAAACTCTATGAGAATATTGTACAATGCTTCCCTCCCAACTGAATCATAGGCTTTCTTGAAGTCTGTGAATAGCTGATGTACTGTCTCATTGTACTATTTTTCTCCAGTATCTGATGAATGCAAAAGATCTGATCAGTAGTTGATCTGTTACATTGAAACCCACACTGATGATCCCTAATAATTTCATTTATGTACGGACTTCATCTTTAGAGAAGAACACTGGATGAAATTTTGTATGAAGCTGATAGCAGTGATATCCCATGATAATTACTACAGTCAATTTTATCAGCCTTTGTGTGAACTCTTACACAAACAGACTCTGATCGAGTAATTTTTCCTTATTCCAAATAGAATTAATTAGCTTTAATCCAATAGATTAATTGATCTTTGAATGTAATACTTCACCTCCTGCTTGAATAGGTTCTGGCAGCATTTGATCACTATCTGGCGATTTATACCTTTTCAATTTTGCAATAGCAATTTCAACATCAAAAGGGCTAGGATCAGGTACTAACGGCTCATCTGTATGTATTTCTATCTGCCTAACATCACTGACCCTATGTATATTCAATAACTGAGAGAGGTAGTTCTTCCTCCTATTCAAAATGTTGTGGAAAATTGCAAGCAGATCACCATTCTCATTCTTCACTAAGTTACACTAAGTAATCAGATTTATTGAACCCTTAAGCACAATAGACCACTGTAGGTCATGGTGCAAGGGCCGAGAAGGCCCACCCCTTATACATTCATTGAACTCTTACAGAAGGTAACTACATACAACCACGACAGTCACTCTGAGTTACACACTCAAAAGATCACTGTAACAGCAGCACACATAAAGTCTTCTCAGTTTGCTATGTCTTCACCATTCATTGCCTGGCGATGGATCCCAACAATATTCTCTGCTTCCATGCTTACATGCTTACCGGTTGGCAACTGTCTCACGACTAACTCATTGCTCAGGCCTTGTCATAGCTCAAGTGCTTCCCAATTCAGTGGGCTGGGTTCAAGCCTAGATCAGGTCATGTGGGAATTGTGGTGGACAAAGTGGCACTGGGGCAGGTTTTCTCTGAGTACTTCAGTTTCCCCTGTCAAATTGCATTCCACCGATTTCTCCATAATCATCATAAACATCTATCACCTGGGGCCGGTACAATAGGCCAAACAGTGGCCAGAATACCAAATGGACTCAGTCTCACCCCATGAGAAAAACAAAAAACAAAAAATTCATTGCTCCAACTGTCAACTCTCAATTCAACTGACAGTCTCTTACTAACTCTCCTGCTTATAACACCTTGGCATAGACCACACAGAAAACACCGTTCCTCTGTTGCTGTTTATGGGCCATTACTTAGCAATGGCTGTTTTAAATTTGCTTATCTTGTGGTCGTTGCCTAGCAATGGGTCTACATGCCACAATATCTTGATGTCTTTAGATTTCACGGGGCTGTGTCTTTTTGAAAGAAATTCTGTTGAAGTTCATTTGAATACATTTAAGCAGAAATCTAGTGCAAGCCTAGTGTGCAAATACAATCACAACCAGTTCTGTGACTGAGTAAAAAAATAAGGTAAAATATATAAAACATTACAAAACCAACTAAATAGTCTGTCCATGCTTCAAACATTATTATATCATACCAGTGTACATCAAAAAAATATTTAAGTGCAGATGGCAGAAACAGAAGTTGAAAATTTGCATCTTAAAAAAATCATAAAACACAGTAAGCTAGCTAAAACCTTTTTAACATGAATGCCAGTTACTAATTTCAGCAGTACACCTGACTGGAACAATTCATATTTCTGCAAAGTACTGATTAGACTGTACAGTTAACCCTGGTTATCCACTATCCAAGCATCCACAATTATCATCCAAGAAACAAAAGTTTCAAAGAAAATTTACCATTTATATAAGTTACTGAAAATCAAACTTGTGATGTGCATATGTTCACCTACCATGCTACCGTGTGGTAGGTTTCCCAGCTGCCAATAGCAGCATTAAAAGTCATCCTCCCTCACACAGTGCCATTTCAAGAGAGGCTCACTGAATTTGCGACCAAGTTACAGTATATGAATATGTATCAAAATCTATCAAACATCAATCTTTCCCCATACATGACAAATAGCAGGGAGTTTACTGTAATAAGTAACTGTATGATTATCATGTCAGCCAACCAACCAACCAACCAACCAACCAACCAACCAACCAACTAAGTAACCAACCAACCAATACCTTGTATTAAATTGTATTAAAGTACACCAACACAAACATAAAATTCTACCACTGGACACAATCACTTAGTCTCCACCTGACATTACTGAAACCCACTTTATTATCCTCTGCATATTCATCTTGTTTACCAGTTCATCTCCTTTATTTTCATTTGTTAATGTTAATATTACAAGATATTTCAATTTTGATATGTTTTCAAATGATTCATTATGATATACCTCTGTTCCTGATGTCATCAAAAATTTTTGTACTTAATTACAATCTGAATTTTCTGTGTACTAATAAAATTAAACTGAAGCATAGTACATTTACTCAAAACTGCATAGATGACTGCCAGTAATTTCATTCACAAATATTATGTGTCAAAACTGAATATAACATAATATTTTGTACCGATTGATGAAGATGAAATCATTTTGTAATCACTGCATAAATATTTTACTTCTCTTCTTACAAGTAGGTCTAATAACAGATTCTTTGATCCAAAAGAAAATTAAATTTGTAAACCTCTGAACACAACAGATGTATCTATTATAATCTGCACTATGTTCTACACATCACATTCATCTAATAGTGATTATACATTTCTCTTGATAGCGCTATTGTAATATTACACCATGCATCAGTGAACACTGTAGTCATACAGGTAGCACTTTTGCTTCATATTCAGATGATCTCAGGTTCAAATTATGGTCCAGAGATCCACTATGCTAATGGGGAGGGGGGTGGCAGCTAATTTAACATGGTTTATGTGTGGGTTCATTAAAATTAGGTTATAATACTAAAGGCAAAATGTGGATGGACTTTAAAAACATTAATTCAATATATAAAGTGCAATATTTTAATGTAATTTTCACTTCTCAATTTTGTACAAATTTGGTCTGATGATGATCAGCTGCTAAAACATGTAACCACTGTGATTACTCTGATTAATAACAGCAACTGTAGATGGATCAAAAGAATCACAAAACTGAATGTAATTGACACCAAAATATAGTGCATCTAAGAAGAATTACTACATAATGTCCTTGGCAAAACTTTGTGCAAATTTTCTGCAACTTTGACAATATTATTACATTCTCATGGCAGTCTTCCCCAACCCCAGCTCTACAGAAGTGTAACTGCATTAGACTATGTGAAGATCACCATTCAATGACTCTACTTATTGTTAACTAAAGGCCGCGCCATAGCTCAAAAGGTTAGTCACTGGCTTCCCACCGTGGCGGCCCGGGTTCGATCCTGGGTCTGGTCAAGTGGGATTTGTGGTGGACAAACTGGTGCTGGGACAGATTTTCTCCAAGTACTTCGGTTTCCCTTGCCAATCTTCATTCCACCAAAATTTTCCATCATCATAATAACCCAGGGCAGGCTACTATAGGCCAATCAGTGGCCGCCATGCCGAATGGACCCAGTTGGACTCCGCCCCCCACTAAGCGAACTGCATACACGCAGAACTATAAAGTATCATGTTACAAGTTCCATGACTTTTACCGCACAACACCCAACGAACTCCCATGCCTCAAAACACCACCTGAATGGTAAAGATTCTGACCAATGAATAATAAACATTTTCCAAATTAATAAAGTACCAAACTCTGCAACATATGCAATATATTTCTTCTGCATTCATGGTGAATAATTAAGTCCCTTGCTTGCAACCTATGATGTATCTGCTGCATTCTGAATCACAGAGCATGCAGCAGGAGTATTAATTTGGGAGATGTACGTTCCAAATTCAGAGTAAGAAAATATTGAATCTGACCTTCTCTCTAGAGATAAAAAGTTCACCTTATTACATTTCAATGGACCAGTCTGTTAGGGTACAAAACAAAAATGTATACTCCTTGCATATGCTGCCCATATCATTATGCACTTAGACTGATTTGCTGGTTCCCTCTGACTAATATTCTGGCATGTAGGGGTATTTTTTAACATACTCAAAACAACGAACTAACAACTTATGCTTTTACAGAATATTAAATTCTGAACTTGAATATAATACTAGAAATCATAACATAAAATTTGTATCTGAATAATTTACTGAATTGTTATATAATGACATTGGGTATACTGAAAAATAATTTTAAATTCCTAACACTAGTAATAATGTATAAAACATATTTACAGAACATAAAAGAGTGTCCAGATTGATTTTAAAAAAATCTCAAATGATATCAACAGTAATATACCTGTGAACATTATAACAATCTCAATCATCCATGTTGACAAAATTCTGTAGTTTCATGAACACTAATATTCCTTTTGCTAGATATGAGGTTCTCAAAGCATTGATTATGTAGTGTACTATCTTCTGGAATGTAATTCCAACCGTTAGTGAACTTCTACCATACTACATAGCATTACATCCCAGAAGATAGTATTTGTCAATATTTCTTTCTTTCTTATCTTCAAATTAGTGTCCAAATTATCTCTGTAAAACTTTTCAATGGTATTCAAATTTGTAATCATGATTTATCTACATTAGTTTATCATTTTATACAAAAAGTCGCGATAAAGTATTTCTGAACATGTGAGTACACTACCTGGTTTGCTATAACACAAGCTCTGTTAACTGCTTCTGCCTCTACATCTTCAGGACGTGACAGTGCATGTCCTTCTGGTCCTGTTATACCTCTGGCTAGAAGCTTCTTTACATTCTGCAACCCAGTGAACATATTATCAGTTCTCTAGAACTTCTTTTCAGCACACTAGCTGAGCTATGTTTATCATGTAATTGTCTATAATTTCCTGTACTATGAAATCAAGAAACATCAGGCTTTTGGAGCAGAACTGCATATCATATCCTATACAGGATAATGTATCAGATATGCAGGGGATTATACTGCACTGCTGTCAGCAACATAATTACAAATCATACACACAAAAGCCAAAAACGAACTAATATTATGTTTCTAAATTATATAATATTGAATAATCTGCTGAAAGTGTATGATATTTCTTGAATCTATTGACAAGGTTGCTTAGAGTTGGCATGTGTAAATTACAATATTATATTTAAGCATCCTGTTACACTCACACAACATATATGAGACAAACTCCGTCTTAAGTGCATCAATTTAATTGTAGTTCTTTCTACTACAATTAAATTGTTGCACTTAAGATGGAGTTTGTCTCATATAATGTGTAAATTATTTTGTTATTCTGTCCTTGAGATCTTCTGTAGATAAAACCAAAGAAGATTTCATCTGAATCAAAATAGGAACCAGTTGTAGGTAGCTATAAAAACAGTGATGAACCTCTGGAAACACTCAAGGCTTTAGTGCTCTAGTACTACTAACATTTTTAATACCATTTTGTAAAATGACCAGAGTGACATAATAAAGAAGCACAATCAAACAGAACATTTTCAGAAGCATGTCAATAAGCTTAACATATTCCAGAAGGAGCTCAAACTAACAGATCCCATATACAAAACACCATGATAAGGTTAAGTACCATAGGAGGAACATGGGAAAGATACTTTCATAGTTTAATTAAAAACCTGTTGCTCCAGTATATATCATGTTACTATTAGCTTCACAGCCGATACATGTAACCAAGGAGCTGAAGTGTATGGCCTGCATTCAATATGATAGTGTTTTGCCACAGATCAATAGCAGATTGCAAGGAAAGTCAGACTAAGACTGGCCCAGTTCTCACCTCAGCAATGACGTCTCCATTCTCAGCATGCACTTGTGCAATTGCTCCCAGCTGTTTGCACTTATCAAACACACCATACAGCTCAAAGTCTCGCAGCATATAAAAGTCTTTGTATGCCATGAACATTTTAAAAGAGTTCACTCCATGCTCCTTACACAGCTGTTCCATCTCTTCCTTCACTTTGTCTGACCACCACGTAACACCAACATGTAAAGCATAATCACAGCACACCTTCTCATCTGCCTTTCTCCTCCAGCTTCCATACGCGTCAATGAGAGATTCACCTTTCTTGGGTATGGCAAAGTCAACTGTAATTGAACATGAGTCAACACAATATATCCCATGCAATATTAAAGTATATTACTCTCAATAACCCTATGGATGAGGGTTAAAACACCCACAAATACGCAAAAAATATTATATCATCCTTCTTAAAAATTCTGGTACAAACATTAAAATGCATAATCTTGGATAAGGACGAATTTAAAAAATGTAAACGGCATATGAAATAAAGTGAAATTTGCTGAGAAATATATGTTGCACGCATGTATATAAAACTACTCAACAACAACAACACTACTCAAACAACCCAAAATAAAAAGTCATATTTTCCATTCATCAGCAATTTTGCTGATATTTGTAAAGCTACATGACCTACAGAGAAACTGAATTATGTCCCTAGTTTGGAGACATGTTGCCATAAATACAGCAAAACCCGTGTATTTTAGAATGCCAGACATCAACAGAACCACTGCAGGTAAGGTAAAATTGTCCTTGTGCTTAACTAATTAAGCACTGTGCCATAAAGGCATATGGGTGAGTGGATGTATAGATCCACATTTGCTTGACCTCGGCACTAACTGGAGGTGAGTGGTCAGCTTCATGCCCTGGCCAATTTAGGTCAGAAAGAGCCCCCAGTACTCATTGGATAGGAGGTTGGGTTGAGCCCAAAGCCAGTCTGGAGGACATGAAGAAAAAATTCTTGACCCCACTGGGACTTGAACTCTGACCCCTCAGTCATCCAGCCTGTAGCTAGCTGCTATACTGACTGTGCTATCCAAGCTCCTAAATTACTTCAGAGGTGAATAAAGTTCTGTTTAGTCAACCCTCCTTATTGTGAAAAAGTAATATGAGGCTTATGTGATCATCATGTTGCTGTCTGTTATGTCTGTGTATCCCTTCCTCCCCCCCATGTTGTTAAGCAANTAGGCCAGAAAGAGCCCCAGTACTCACTGGATAGGAGGTTGGGTTGATCCCAAAGCCAGTCTGGATGACATGAAGAGAAAATTCTTGACCCCACTGGGACTTGAACTCTGACCCCTCAGTCATCCAGTCTGTAGCTAGTTGCTATACCGACTGTGCTATCCAAGCTCCTAAATTACTTCAGAAGTGAATAAAGTTCTCTTTAGTCAACCCTTCTTATTGTGAAAAAGTAATATGAGGCTTATGTGATCATCATGTTGCTGTCTGTTATGTCTGTGTATCCCTTCCTCCCCCCCATGTTGTTAAGCAACAGCTCGGTAAACAAGTTTCTGTGGCAATGAATACACATCCAACAACAGCAAAACACATGGCCACAGTGTTTTTATGTGGTCTGTGACATACCAGATAATCAGTATGTAGTGAATTGAAACTATGCCATTAGTTTTTCCCAGAACTTGTCATATTACTCACAACATGACCACAGTGAATAACATGTGGTTTAAGTGCTTATTATATTTCTCTAGTGTCCACATCAACAATTCTCAGAGTAAAAGAGTGGCTTGGTAATGCTATCAATAAAATTCTCAAATACTAATGAGCTACAAATTTATTTTGAGAGATAAACCGATTTTGGAATGAAAGTGGTTAAAAAACATTGCTCAAAGTTTCTCTCATACTTAGAACAGAAAAAGCAAACTGAATTTACATCAAGCTCTGAACCAGATCATGCACACATAAATTAATTAATTAAACCTGCTAAAATATTTTCACATAAATAATCATTTAAGCCAGAATACATAAATGAAAATATTATGCTTGCTTACTTACTTACTTATGGAGCTGAGTCCTTCTTGAGAAGAAGCCAAATCTGCAGCTACTCAAGAATTTCACAGCATTTTATGGAACATGAAGGTTCATTAGCGTGTTCACAAGAGCCCTCCACTGGTCCCTATCCTGAGCCAGATCAATCCAATCCATGCAATCCCATCCTATCTCTCTAAGATCCAGTCTAATATTGTTTCCCCACCTATGCCTTGGTCTTCCCTGTGGTCTCTTTCATTCTGGCTTTCTCACCAATATCCTATACGCATTCCTCCTCTCCCCCATTAGTGCTACATGACCTGCCCACCTCATCCTCCTTGACTTCATCATTCTAATAATACTTGGAGAAGAGTACAAGTAATGAAGCTCCTCATTATGCAGTTTTCTCCAACCTTCTGTCACTACATCCCTCTTCAGTCCAAATCTTCTCCTCAACACCCTGTTCTCAAACACCCTTAATCTATGTTCCTCTCTTAATGTCACAGACCAAGTTTCACACCCATACAGAACCACAGGCAAAATTATTTCTTTGCATATTCCACTTTTTATGCTTCTAGACAACAGACGAGAAGACAAAAGGTTCTGGACTGAATGTAGCAAGCGTTATCCGAGTTCAATCGCCTCTAAATTTCCTACTGAATCAAGTTTCCTTGAAAAGAATAACCAGTTCACTTTAGGCAACCAACATAGCGGGTGTACGCAGCTAGAGCTGAAGGTACCCGAGATGGAAGAGATGGTGTCCCATTATCCCTTCCCACCTGATTTTTAACAGAAATATGCTTCTGTTAGTACTCGTAATTTCCATTGAAATATACTCGTATATAATTATTTTTGCGATTATAACCGTTACT